ACAAGGCTCACTCTGATGTATTGCCTCCCCACAGAGCATATGACTGTGCCATTAACCTGTTTCCAGGCGCTATGCCACCTAAGGGAGCAGTTTATGCCTTATCTCCCCAGGAGAGTAAAATAATGGAGGAATACATCAATGAATCCTTGAGCAAAGGGCACATAAGAAAGTCATCCTCACCAGCTGGTGCAGGATTCTTTTTTGTTGAGAAAAAGGGTGGTGAGTTACGCCCTTGCATAGACTACAGGGCACTTAATAAAATCACTGTAAAAAATGCATACCCTATCCCACTCATTTCCGAATTGTTCGATAGACTTCAGGGAGCTAAAGTATTTACTAAGCTTGACCTTAGGAGCGCTTACAATTTGGTTAGAATTAAAGAGAATCATGAGTGGAAGACGGCATTTAATACCCGTAGTGGACACTATGAATATCTGGTAATGCCATTTGGGTTATGCAACGCCCCGGCCGTATTCCAAGACTTTATAAATGATGTACTCAGGGAATTCATTTACTCATTTGTCTTGGTTTATTTGGACGATATTTTGGTGTATTCCCCTGATCTTCAGACTCACCACTCCCATGTGAAACAGGTTCTGCAGACGTTGTTGAAAAATAAACTTTATTGCAAATTAGAAAAGTGCATATTTGACCAGCCTGAAGTCCACTTTTTGGGTTACAACATCTCTGCATCGGGATTTCAAATGGATCCTAAAAAACTAGAGGCTGTACTACACTGGCCATTACCCTCTGGTTTAAAAGCCATTCAAAGGTTTATTGGTTTTGCCAACTATTACAGAAGATTCATCAAGGGATTTTCTTCTGTAATAGCCCCAATCACAAATATGACTCGCAAAGGGGTTAGTAGCACGGTATGGTCCAAAGAGGCTGTGAATGCTTTTGAGACTCTTAAACAAAGATTTGCCTCTGCGGACATACTAAAACATCCCGACACTAGTAAACCTTTTATATTGGAGGTTGATGCATCCGAGACAGGGGTAGGGGCTGTTCTCTCTCAGAGAGAAAGCCAGGGAACACCATTGCATCCTTGTGGCTACTTCTCCAGAAAGATGTCTCCTGCTGAGCGCAACTATGATATTGGCAATAGAGAACTGTTGGCCATTATTCTTGCCCTCAAGGAGTGGCGACATCTTTTGGAGAGTTCCAAGGACCCCTGATCATAACCGACCACAAAAATCTGGCATATATAGGGGATGCCAAACGTTTGTCTTCCAGACAGGCTAGATGGTCACTATTCCTTTCATGTTTTAACTTTCTCATTACTTATAGACCTGGTTCTAAAAATACCAAGGCTGATGCCTTGTCCAGGCAATTTGATAATGAGTCAGCTCCGGAACAAGTGACATCTCCTATTATTCCACCAGAGTGTATTATTGCCACTACTGTCCTCTCACTGTCTTCTCCACTGCTTGGCACCATACTGGAGGCCCAGCCTCAGGCGCCCAGTGGTAAACCGTGTGATAAACTGTTCGTTCCCCTATGTGAAAGGGTTAATATCATGAAAGTGTTCCATGACAATATAACTGCTGGACACCTGGGCATCAATAAGTCCACTGCCGCGATCACTAGATCATTTTGGTGGGATTCACTCAGGAAAGATGTAAAGGAGTATGTTCAGGCATGTTCTGTGTTCTGTTTTCCTTGTGGTTGTCCGAGAGCGCATTCCTGTTTATAGTTTTCTACCTGGTTTTTGACTTTGGCTTTGTTTATTGACTTCTCTATATTCTGGTATCCTGACTCCTGGCTTTCCTCATCGCTGTGTCCATTTCTGTGTTCCCTGACCTCGGCTAGTATTTTTGACTATTCTTTGTACGTTAAATCTGGCCATTCTATGGACCGGTAATACGTTACTTATTTGCCATCCGTGCTGTACAGTTCTACGTGCTGGATCAAACAGTAATCCTGACAATATGCGCATTCGGCTCCACTCGGTAGCCGACGTCAGAGGGGAAGGAGAGGTCACCAGCACCGAGGAAGCCTGGCGTTGGATAAAGGTAAGTGGCTGAAGGGGTGGAGGGAACCTAAGGATTATATAGTGCCAGGAAAAGAAGTTTGTTTCATTGGCACTATAGTGGTACTTTAATAAAGTACTAAACATGCTGGTATGTAAATATCCTTACCAATAGATAACTATGACATCTTAAATCAAATCAAATAATGACAGTCTATTCCTACAGAAGCTTGAGTAAATATAAATAAACAACAAACTGCTTGCACTTATTCAGGTCTTGAAATTCAACTTCTAACAATGTTTATCATGAAGCATCAGTGTAAACCTGATGATATAATCTCAGCAAGCGAATAATAAAATGTTGTATAAAGTTCTGCATAACCCAAGATTGTATACAATCTGCAATTTACATCTAGTGTACAGCTGATTGCCATTGTGTATATTGAGCAGTACAGTTTTGCTTGATATAATCTTTATCAGCTACTGTATCCACTGGTGTCAAGTCTGTCTGGGATCGGATTTACTAGGACAGTAAGTCAGCTAGTTATGATGGTAAGCCAGATATAATGGTTAACATGGTGACAGCTGACTTCTGGCTACCATTGGACTAGTAGAAAATGACACATGGATTTCTTTGGTCTGATATACTTCAAGGCCTAATAGAGATCAAGATTCCGATTTGCAGTAGAATTCCCTTTTGATGACTTTAGGAGAATCTTTTTCAGGGTTGTGATTTTTAATGGAGATGTGTGTTGCTGTTTTCATATTTGCCCTCTTTGTTCTGTAACACTTTTGCTCTTGGTTTAGTTTTATTGTTATTTGAATTTAGTCAGTGTGATGTATTGGGTTTGTAGCTGTGTGATTGGAACACCAACTGAGAACTCTGTATACTAAACATCAGTTTTATTTTACCCAATGTCTCTATCATGTTAGCTTAACAATGAACAAATCTTTATACACTAGAAAACTTACTCACTGTTTCTGGCTTCAAACACTGTGGCCTTTGTTCCTATACATGTCAGGGAGCTGCATGCTGCTTCAGATACTCCAATGGTTTAGCTTTTGTATATGAATTGTACTCATGGAATTTACACAAAATCACACAGCAGTGTACTGTGCAATCTCTTTCTGGATAAAATTCATCAACTTGGTGTTTTTGGACCGGCATATCATTGTGATTGTTGTAGTCGAACTACTGCATTATGGGGATAACAAACAAATTACTGGGCCTCTTAAGATACCAAAACTAATAATTGTCAGTTTCATCTGTTTTTAAATTTCATTGACTGTACATGATTTCTATATAATAAATAGTGGAGTTAAATAACCACACAGTGTTCGTCATTGGATTAAAAGACACAATACTTTTTTTTTTGTTAACTTTTTTTATAGAAACAAAGGTGAGCACATAATGAACCTCTTATTTTGGATAAAAACATGTTTTTCTTTCAAGGTAATTGACTTTTGGCTGGTATAAAAAGAGTAAAGCTTTGACTGAAGCAAGACTGCCAGTCTGGTGTTTGTTTTGTAGCCTGCAGTTGGCTGAACACAAGGTGGACTAGAATGTGGAGGGAGGAATATTCTCACAGTGTGCATGTGTAAAACCAGCACTATTCAGACTAATGGAGCAGTGTGTCCATGCTTCCTATCTTTGTGGTTCCACTCTCCAGTCTCTTCCTCTAAAGCAGAGCTTCCAAACTTTTATGGGCCGAGATCCACTTTTGAAAACTCTTATTTTTCAAGACCCACTTGATTTTAATGCATATTTTAAAAATTAACATCACGGCAATGCGCTTTAGAGGCATACAGTTGACACACCATGGCAATCAGTTTCAGTGGCATACAATTGGCACACCATGGCAATCATCTTTACAAATATACAATTGGCAGAGCATGGCAATCAGTTTTAGATGCATAAACTTGGCACATCATGGCAATCCGCTTTAGAGGCATACAATTGGCATATCACAGCAGTTTTAGAGGCATAATTCTGGGAAATCATGGCAGTTTTAGAGCAATAATTTTGGTATATCATGCAGTTTTAGAGGCAGAAACTTGGCATATCATGGCAGTTTTAGAGGCATAATTTTGGGTATCATGGCAGTTTTAGAGGCAGAATCTGGGCACATCATCGTAATCTGTTTTAGAGGCATATAATGAATGTAAGCATGTTTTTGTATGGAGTATGTATGTGAATGTTGGTGTTTGAAGGCAGGTGTGCATTTGTGTGCAGTGTATACACTTCCACACACATACAGAGACACACACTGACACACATGCAAATGCACAGATACACTAATACGCACACTGACACACCGATACACACAGACATACACACAATGACACCTAGTTTCCCACACACAATACACACAGACACACAAATACACACACACTGACACAAAAGGACACACAGATACACATACATACAGAGACAGGCGGTGAGGATGACAGTGTGGGAGGAAGTGTGTGTGCTGGTGACAGTGTAGGGGGCAGTGTGGGGGCAGGCTTAAAAAGGGTTACAGTGGGCGGGCAGGGGGAAAAGGGTTTATGTGTGGAGGCATGGGGAGAAAGGGCTACAGTGGGGGGGAAAGGGGGTGGCAGGGTGAGAAAGAGTTACAGTGGGACAGACAGGGTGAGAATTGGATACAGTGGGGGAGGCAGGGTGAGAAGGGGATACAGTGGGAGGAGGGCCAGATGAGAAGGGGTTACAGTGTGGGGAGGAGGGCAGGGAGATAAGTGATTTCAGTGTGGGAAGGGGGGCAGGGAGAGAAGGGGTTACAGTGTGGGCAGGGGGGCAGGGAGAGAAGGGGTTACAGTGTGGAAGGGCAGGGAAAGAATGGATTACAGTGTGGGGGCAGGGAGAGAATGGGTAACATGTAGGAGGGGTCAGGGTGGGGGGGCAGAGTGAGAAGGGGTTACAGTGTAGGGAGGTGGGTGGAAGAGAAGGGGTTACAGTGTGGGTGGGTGGGCAGGGACAGCAGGGGATACAGTGGGGGAGCGGGGCATGTAGAGAAGCGGTTACAGTGTGGGGAGGAGGCTGCCTCCCCACACTGTAACACCTTCTCTCCCTGACCCCCTCTCCACACTGTAATCCCTTCTCTCCCTGTTCAGTGTGGGGAGAGAAACAGGGAGAGAAGGGGTTAAAGACTGGAGTGGTCAGGGAGAGAAGGGGTTACAGTGTGGGGAGATGGCAGGGTCAGAAGGGGTTACAGACTGCAGGGGCAGGGAGAGAAGGGGTTACAGTGTGGGGAGATGGCAAGGTCAGAAGGGGTTACAGTGTGGAGGGGCAGGGAGAGAAGAGCTGCAGACCATGTGATTGAAGTCTTGTAAGCACCCAAAGTGTACACTATGGGTGCTCGCGAGACTTCTATCACAAGGTCTGCAGTTCTGCACCTGGCGGAGCTGCAGACCAGAGGTGCTGGGCAGACTGATTGATTGGAGGATGGTGGCAAGTCACCGGGCTCCCTTCTGGTGTCGGGCCCACGGTCACGGACTGAGGGCCCGACTAATCAGTCTGCCTGATGGTCTCTTAGGTCCCTGGCAGGCCTGGAAGAATGGGTCAGTGCAACCCACTGGGAATAACCCTGTGACCCACCATTGGATCGCCACCCACACTTTGGAAAACCCTGCTCTAAAGGATACTTCATATTCCATAGTGGAAGAGAGATTTAGGTTAAAAACCTCAAGGGCTTTACACTAAATTTACCAACAAAAACATTGAATTGAATACAACTGATATATCAAACAAAATAGATCCTAATGCATTTAAGTTACTAAGTACTATGAAAACCTTGTTTCTAAATAGTTCCAGCTGATTGTTTTGACAGTCATTGCATTGATGCACATTTCAGCCAATCTGGAATTTAATATTTCCCTCCAGCAGGAAGAATTCCTGAGCGATGCCAACAAGACACAAAGGTTTCTACTAAGGAAAAAGCCCATTATGCTTTGATCCTGGCTATGTGTATTTACCATTCTTGAAGCTGGAACATACTTTAGCAAGCAGAAGTCACTAAGTTTCAGTCATCATTAACCTAAAGAAACACTCTGACCATATTAAACCAGATAGCACTATTTGTCACTAAGCCCCAATATTGTGTACAAATAAATTTCATCTTGAGACTCATACTATTTCAGGGAGATGGATTAAACCTCTTATTTGGGCAGGGTTTACTTCAGAGACTGTCATATAATGAAAGACTAATATACAAAATGAAGTCCTGCGCTCAAACTCTTGCTGCTCCTTGGCGGCAGCAATGACTATAGTAAAAACTAAGAAAATAGTTACTTTCATGCTATTCCAAATCCCACATTTGGGATGTGCACATTTAAACATCTCCAATACCCATCCAAATGCAAGTTCACCTGCTACATCAAGGTAAACCTCCTATAAGAGTTCCACGCTAACAATTCAACTTACTTCTTTCTCTAATGAGACAGAGAGGGAGCTTTTTCCAAACCCCTACGCACTTATTAATCCTTAATAGGGAACACATGATGTGTATATGTGTAGGGTGAATTGGGATAGAATTTTGGCCTCCTATAATTCTGTTTCACTGCCATGAGTAAATGTTTCATATTAAGCCAAAGTCTGGTTTTCAAATTCTCAAAGAGGTGTAGTTCCCTCAAAACACTGGAATGAGGCATTTAAACCAAGAGCCTCCGACTTGGCCAATCTCAATCTATAAGGAGCTTTATTTTGATGATCTTTTCTTCTCAAAATGGAGTTACAAAAGAGATTACATACAGTATAAAGTTTATATTTTCTAGAATAAGTGAAATGTTTGTAATTAGTGATAAAACATATAATTAACTTACATTATCTGTATATTTTATTTTCAATGTTTTGTATTCATCTAATAAAGGATGCTGTATGTGCAGACATTTAGAAATTATTAGAAATTTAGAAATCTCATTAAATTTGTAAACCTTGAAATTGCATTTAGATCTTTTGGTGCCTGATAAATTTGTACTGACTATATTGCCAAGCTATAAGATTGAAAATAGGTGACTGCTGTGCAATGGACCTATAAATAATGTTAAATGTGTCTTTAAATCATTATGTACGTTGTGGCTCTATAAATAGGTATACCATAGTTAGTGAGCATAATTTTTTGGGGAAATCAGGTTTTTTTTTTTTTATCCCCATCTATAGTGTTGCCTCAGAAAGGGCAAATAGGAAAAGTTCCAAAATAAAAATAAAGTACTTGGTAGATTTACAATATTAGATGAGGAGATGATGGTAGCATTTTCTTATTACTCATAATATATACAAATTTTGATTACTACCCATTCCATTTTAGTACGATTTCTCCTTTAGGTTAATGGAATCGGTCGAAGAAGCCAACAGATATTATTTTTAATAGTGTTTCATGAAATATATCTGCAACTGCTTCTCTCGGCAAATCTATTTCTATATGTCTAATCATATTTTAGATTACAAGCTGATAACACTTACAAACTGTCTTGCTGAGAGCCCTTGCAACATATCTGTTCCCCTTTTGATAGTGTTCTCTGGAAAACAAGTTTTGTAACTAAGTATTCTGGATGCAAAGATTTAAAGTTATCTATTACATTCCTTATTTTGTCAAAATCTACATTGAACGTTATTAGTTTTTCACATCGTTGGCTTTTCAAATTACATTGCAAATATTTAGCTCGCAAGAATCTCTGCAGAGCATGTGAGTTATATGAATGCATTCCATTGGAGTCCTGGAAAACTACCTATATTTATTCATAGGAGTTACTGGAAAGATTTTGTTGAATCTCCTATTTGACTGCTCAAGCATATCTTTGCATATTGAATAAACAGATAGATATACTTGAGTCATTAGCAAGAAGCTCTCACGAGACCTTGCATCATTATGTCACTGTTTTCGGCAGTGAAATTTGAGAAGAGAATTTAATGCCAAGTAAGTCGAATTTTGGAATAGTCGTCAAGCCATAGACAGGAAGTGAAGGAAAAGTTGCAAACAGAGTGGAGACCAACCATGAGAATTTGTGGGTTGAACCTGGGAATTGCCAAGATGGATCTTTAAAACTTGATTGTCCTAGCTTAGAGTACCTTGGACTCTACTGAACTCCACAAGAAATTGTTGCATTCTACTGAATATTTATGCAAACTCAACATGTATTGCAGTTCCTGAACCATACTGAGATTTATTTAACCATTTAACCTTCATGTACTTAGTGCATATGCATAATGCTGCAATGTATCTTTCTACCATATACATGAATTCTTCAAATTCTTCTGTCTATAATTTGCATACTGCTTGTAAAGAATACAAACCTGAATGGTGGTTTCATCCAAACACTCGCTCCTGGTTCTTGTAGTTTTAGTGTTGATACTAATGCAATGAATTGTGCATTGTCTGTTCTAAAGGGCTCACATTGATTGCCTTTAAATATTCAAGCAATTGTGGGTAATATTTCAAAAGACTACACGTAAGAATAGCGAGAAGGATTGCGCTTTCTTATCAATCATATACACAGGCCAACACTGTACCCTTAAAGGAAAACTGTCACTGATATGCTATGCTGTCTATTAAAACATTGTCTTTATTTGGACATTTATACACATATTACCTTCTACTGGAACCATTGTATGAGATTCTTGGTCAAAAAAAGCTCTTACCCAAACAAAGTTCAATGTACTTTGTTGGACTTTAAACTGAGATCATGCCAGCAATAATCGCAGAGTGTGTGCATGCTATTTACTTAGCATGGCCTTAATTATCATTTAATGTCAGAGCTTTTAGAACTTCCATTTACTATACATAAAACAAAACGAGTTGAGATAAAAGATAAAACTCATAGAAATTAATCTTTATGGCATTTGAAGTAAAGATGAGTACAACAATTGCATTGTTTTCATATCTGTTTTGCAATGGATGATATCCAAAATAATGTGGTGCATGGCTTGGAGAGGACCTCTGACCTCTGTAGTTTCAGCAATGTGCAGGGTATGTTGGAACTGGACTGTGTACATATTTTCCTATTTTTCAGATAATAGCTTTTGCCTGTAAGGATTTCTTTTTAAATGTTTGGTATGTTAAGATGATCTTACGCGGCGCTTTGCAGTTTCTCAAGCTGCATGCATTTAGTGTCTTTGGTGTTGATGAGCAACATAATTGTGAAATATAATTGTGTCTATAGCAGAGCTTCAATGCCCAAAGTGAAAACCCTAAAGAACAATATGTGAGCTCTTCTGCACGGTACGAAGAATCTAATCCATGCACTTGTCAATGCATAACAATGTGTCCAACAGAGAGAAGACAAAGAACTAAACAGAGGCACCGAGAAAGGACCATCTTGCTCTCGTTTTATAAATGCCTCTTCCACTGAAATCAGGTTTAATTATTACAAACTTTAATTTCTTAATTTGCAACTTTTAGCAGTTTATATTTCACAAATTAGATTTAACAATATTACATAAAATTGACAACTTTTTTTAATTTCATTAATTATATTTACTAACAAGGCACAAACGTGAAGCAGAATTTCATGTGTTAAACACATTTTCTCAGTTGTAGAGCAAGGACTAAATTTGTAAGACACATCTGTTGAATGAAGGGAAAATTAAACAGCCTGTTGAGATCCTGTTAGCCAATATTTACTATATCTTTCAAGCACATCCATTTAATAAATTCAAGCTTAAAGGACAACTGTCACCTCCAAAATATTTTTACTATATTAATCCTTTCAACAAGTATGGAAAGGGAACACATTTTTTTAAAAATAAAACATATGTAAAAAAAAACGAGTAATACTTTAGTACATGACAAGGTTCTTCAGCCAAATAGATTGTTGTTATTATTCTTGTTATTATTATTATTATTATTTAGATAGGGCCGACATATTCTGGAGCACTTTACGATCTCTAAATAGCGATAATTGACCACAAGTAATTAACATATAGAATATAACAAAGACAAGAAGAGAAGAAAGTCCTGAGGGGTGGAGGGATTCATATATAAGATGCCTGTGTTGAAATAAATTAGTAAAGTGATTGGTATGAATGAACAGAGGAAGGATGGCAACTGAGCTGGATTATGAATAGGAAGAAGCTAACAAGCGCAATTGTAATGAGAGGAGCATTACATAGGAATATGGAAGGATTTCCTAAAGAGCTGTGTTTACAGTGACTTCTCAAAAGAGTGGATGCAGCCCTGGAGATGAGAAATAGAAGTGCGGGAATGG